GTATGATTAATTTGACTCGTTTTTCTTAATTGCACTTACGGATTGAAAAGTCCTTCTCCACAATTAAAGTATTGACAATAACACTGGCTGCCAGCTACAATTTAATACGAAAAATGAAAGAAAATTAAAAATGTAGTTTTGTCACCGGCTCCTGCAGTCAACTCGTCATAATATGTGTTGCATATAAGAGTTTCAGATTTTACCCGTTTAAAATAAGTAGCCAGCAGCCTACAGAAAACCACGAAGAACAATACTATGCCTGTAGAAATGAGCTAGGAGCTTTAGTATAAGAGAAAAGAGTCGCCAAAAATTTCATTCCTATGCTACGAATAAAATTGACGTGAAGCCATGAAACCGAGCAGTATTTTAGTTGATCTCTTTCTAAGAGATGGCGTTGCAATATGTTAGATAAGGACAGATGAATGCGTTTGAGCGAGACATAACGATATATAATAAGTATAAGAAATGTATGAAAGATGTCACTATTATCGAATTTGGAATTTAAAAAAGTCTGTACTATTGATTTCGATCAAGTTCGGCTGTCGATCCAGCATCCCCTTAAAGCTAAATTTTTCAATTATATACGAATATTTTTTGTACAAATAATATCATTTTTCATTTTCGCTTATTATTTAGATTATGTATTTTTTTTTATCATTACATATCTTTTTAAGTAAAATAATTTTGAGGAATATAAAGTCTATTTTATTCTTTGTAATAAATTATTAATTAATGTTTACTTTTTAAAAATAAGGTTCTTTAAAAAAAATACCTTTCCTATATGAATACTTGTTTCACTCATTGTATATTAAAAAATTAATATAAATCATGCTTTTAATAAAGCTTTTTTTAAAAAAGAAATATATAATTTACAAGACTCAATGTTTACTTTTTTTTATATAATATTCTTTTTTAATCTCTAGAAAAATTTCTAGAGAGGGGCGGAGAAAATGTGGGATATTTATTGAAATATTGAATTTTTATAAATCATAAATCAGAGCATATAAAGTGGCCGATTAGATTTTCGGAGAAAGATTGTTTCTATTTTTAATAAAGGCCGATCAGTTTGCGTTCGTTTTGCATATCGTTTCTTATTATCGAATACTCAGTATACTTGTACTTTGGCCATGTCAAGAGGTGTGCGAGGACAACATCCCAAGAAGACAAAAGAGTTAGGAAAGCGTAGATTCGACACGAGTTTGCAATACCGTTATACCGGGAGCACTTGAAGCGTTTTCAGGTGATCGCACTGCCGCGCATCAGTCGCTAGATAGACTCGTTTTTCTGTATTGTGTTACAATAACAGAGTGGCGACAACTGTTGCGCGGACAACTGTCTTTCGGAAGAGGGTCCCACAATAGGTCGACGATAATACGGGTTTCACCCGGATAAAGTAACCATTCTGAAGCGAACTTCCGAACGCTGGCTGGAGCGGTGACTAACGAGAGAACGAAAAATATTGTGATGCGTAAAAATGTCTAGAGATATGAATAATAAATTTACGTTTTAATTTACGTCTCTTTTTAGAAACTAATACTGAAAATAGTGGGGAGAGAGAGGGAGGGGAAGGGGAAGGGGAAGGAGAGAGAGAGAGAGAGAGAGAGAGAGAGAGAGAGAGAGAGAGAGAGAGAGAGAGAGAGAGAAATCGTTACAGAATTCGATGCTTTAAATATCGAAGAGTCGAATTTCGTTCATAGTTTTGATCGAAACCTAATTCATGTAAAAAGACTTACTACTTGACCGTCATTTCTGCGACGTGAGAATTTAATTTTCATTAACAAATTTAATTCAAGAATCTTTTTAGAAGAAAAATGGCATTGTCCTCAATCTGGAAATATCAGGAAAATCATATTATAGAGTCGGATTTTAATTCTAGAGATTTAAATTCCGTTAATAGCTCTTGTGTCGAAATTTGTGTAAAAAGAATTGCTATTCGATCGCTGTTTCTGCGATGCGAGAGTTTAGCTTTCATTAGCAAGTGTTTAACGCGGTATGACTCTTTTATGACGGTTTTCACTTCCTGAGGTAGGGGAGACGCGGCAAGTAGGTCAGACGCAAAATATACATTTTCATATTATATTGTACGTTAACTACAAATCGGTAACGGTCTTAAGATATAAAAACGAATTTTTGTATATCGTATGACACGCATAAGTAGAAACACGTTTGACATATGTATATTAGTCCAGTCGTCAGAGATCTGACATCTAAAAATGATCCGACCTGGCTGAAATTTTGTGTGAATGTACATTAGTAGTCCCCAAAAAAGATGCAAAAAAGTTTACCACTCGTACCCCCGGGCTTCTTCAGAAATTGCCCCCTAAAGGGGGTAAAAAACGGAAAACATCGATTTCCCAGAAATCTGTGCATGGAAAAAAAAAAGTTTCAAACAAAAAATGTAGCTGACACGATTTTGAACAAAAAAGTTCCTTACCACTTTCTTTGTAAAGTGAACCATTCTCTCAGAAAAAACGATTCAAATAACGAGTTATTTTGAGTGTCAGTTGCGCGCGAGAAATGAAATATTTGAAAAAATTTTTATCAAGTACGCGGTAAATATTCAATAACTTTTGTTCCCAGTGACCTACAGGGACAAATAAAAACGCATTTTAAAGGGGAAGAGTTCAGCTTTCTGATAGAACAATAATATTTTACCACAAATGAAGTAAGATTGTTCAAATCTGTTAATGAAATGAAGGTTTCGAGGTTATGGCCGTTTTTTTGCCATTTTCCATATATGAATAAAATTTATCAAATCTGATGACAAATATGTATGGAATCTTAATTCTTATAGTATAAACTGCAGTACCTATACTATAAATTTTCGATTTTGATGTTTTGGAAAAAATATGACGAATTTGAAATATGCCCCCACTGCAAAGGTTCTGACTTCCTGTTCGAGGGAGGGGGGGGGTTAAGGGGGGGGCTATAAACTTTTTAGGGTCGATCAGATGTTAAATCATCTAGTAACAAATAAGCTCCTTTTTATATTCGCCAGTTTTTACAGAAATCGCCCCACTTCTATTCCTTTTTCACCCTATGAAAGGTTGCTCATTTCTGAGAAAACGGTTCACTTTACAAGCAAAGTGGTAAGGGACTTTTTTGTTCAAAATCGTGTCAGCTACATTTTTTGTTTGAAACTTTTTTTTTTCCATGCACAGATTTCTGGGAAATCGATGTTTTCCGTTTTTTACCCCCTTTAGGGGGCAATTTCTGACGAAGCCCGGGGGTACAAGTGGTAAACTTTTTGCATCTTTTTTGGAGACTACTAGTGGACATTCATACCAAATTTCAGCCAGATCGGATCATTTTTAGAGGTTCAGTGGTATTTTTGCCTCTGACGACTGGACTAATTGTACGTGAAAAAACATTTTACGACCGTGATGTCCCAGAATTACTGAGAAGCAGAATATTATATAAGTTGTAAAAATTTGAAATCAGTTTTCGCAAAAGCGTCGACGGGGCATCATTTTCCTCTTTTGATATTTGTGATTCCGAAATTTAGCGCTCCAACCGTTTAGCAGATTTTTAAAAAAAAATGGGGGGTGCAGCTTCCAGAAAGCTGCAACCCCCCCCCCC